GTAAAAAAGGAGGGAGGTTTTAAAAGTAGGGTTTTGGAAGGATAAAATTTAATTTTTCAAGAAAGAGTAAAAGAGGGAGGGAACCTTTTTCTAACAAAAGTTGTATATAAAAGGGTAAGCTAGGGGTTGGGCCCCGGGGCGTTGCCCCCTCGTATAAAACAAAAAACTTTGTTGAGTACCCCCCCCCCCCCGGACGCTGAAATGCATTTCAAACAACCCTGATGAGACAGAAGATGCTATCAATTCCCTAAATGGAACAAAAGAGCAAAATGGTAAGCTCAAGCACCAGAGTCTGGAATTCATGCAGCAGAAGACAGTACGTAAATCTGGTGAATACCTCGGATCAGTCCACATGAAGTGTTGCAATCATGATTAGTTAATACAATGTACCGTTTATTTATTAACTAAGGGGTGGGGGGTGTAAAAGAAAGTCAGAGCTTGATTTTTTCCCCTTAAAAAGGGGGCTCTATAGGAGATTTACGGTAGCTCTACTCTATTGAGGATCTAAGGGGTGAGGTGCTTCTCAACTCAAAGCTTTAAAAAAGATTTTAATCTTTTAGCCCAGCTAATAGTCTAAACACAGCCTGACTTGAAGGGATTTAACAGCGTGCGAGAGATACGTATTTTGAGGATTTTTGTCAGGGGACTTGTCGTAACTTAATCTAGCTCTTTAACTATGACTGAACAAAAATAATGGTACCATGATAAATAAGTGTTAAGTTACGTGTAATGGGTTTGTCTTTTCTCTTTTAGCCATAACAAGTTTAAACCCTAGTCAAATTAAATATACAAAATATCAGCAGGTCCACAGCGACAAACCAATGAGTGGTTCCGGATCTCCCAGTTGCAGACCTGAATCAGTACAATAACAACTTGGAGAAAAATATGAATTCGCAACATTGTTCAGTGCGCCGTTTTTGAGCCGGTAGTTTGAAAAAGTACCCAAAACAAAACAAAACTAAGCAGAGGGAGAGAGGGGTGGCGGGGTAGCTTTAGGAATTTTTCGTATGGAGGTACCCTTTGCCTATACTAGACCATGATCAGCCACATGTTGCAGTCCTATTCCCGACAAATATCCTTTTAGCCAGAGGACCAGATCCAGAGCTCTTGGTGTGAGCAAGATAAGGCGCAAACGCAGTAGTTTCACATTATTATATTTAAAGATTGGTTATACTTGCTTCATGTTCGCACCCGGAGAGGCGATCCTTTTGGTCAGCGCCACGAATCGAGAGCTTGGCAGGGGCCAGAATAACGCACATGCGCAATAGCTACAATACAATACAATACAAATTTTATTGTCAACTCCCCATTGGGGCTTTTCAGAGACAAATATTAGTAGCACAGGTAATAAAAAAAACAAACAAACCAAAAAAAAAATAGTCAAGAATTGTCAATAAACAGTTATTAAGAAACTATTTACATATAGAATTTATGACATCACAATTTGATTATCAATAAACTATTAAGAAACTATTTACATATAAATTTATGACATTAGAAATTGATTTAAAAGGAAGGCTTTCATTTTACGTTTGAAAATGATGAGAGATTCACTTAATTTAAAATGGGGTTTTAACGCATTCTACAATGTTACAGTCCTGTAATAAAAAGATCTCTGTCCCGACTTGGTTTTAAAAAGCGGTATATTAAGCTGGGAAGATGATCTGGTCGTCCGACCACTGATATTGCCTCTGGAGATAAAATTTGAACTGAGGTAGTTTGGTACCTGACCTGTCATAGATTTAAAGGCCAAGATGGCGTCTCTTAGATACAAGTGAGACTTAGCTGGTATCCATCTCAGGTCTTTCAGGGCTGGAGATACGTGATCAAATTTCCTTGTCCCAGAAACTATGCGATGAGCGAAATTCTGTACTCCTTGTAGTTGGCGTATATTGTTGGCAGAAGTATTCGACCAGACGTACGAGCAGTAATACAACTCACTAAACACGAGAGAATTAATTACTATAACAAATATGTCTTTTCTAAATATATGTTTAACGCGGCTAATTTGCCCTAGGGCAGACATATAAGATGATGCTGTTTTAATTATGTAGTCGTTGAATGAGAGTTTACTATCAAACACTACACCCAGGTCCTTAACAGAGTCGACGGGTAAAAGTTCTTTACCCAAGACGGTAAGGCGAAAATCCTGAAGTTTCGATATCATTTGCCGACTTCCATATACAATCAGTTTAGCTGCCATGTTAATTGTAATATTGTTTTGATTTTCTGGGGCTGGGCAGAAAGTCAATTACCAGTCAATTTCCCACGACAATATAAAGTCTACTCGGGTAGAACAGAACACTGTATGTGACTTAATTATACACTCCGTCCCAAAAAAAAATTGCCTGACAAGCCCCTGGACATATTACGTAGTCTTTATCGAGCCTCCACTTAGGTACTTGCCCTTTCGTGTTTTTGATTATTTTCTTCAAAATGATGACATTAAAACCTCAAACTCTCTGAGAAGGAAGTGAGTTGAGATAGGTTCTTGATTGGCAGTACTGTCTGCTACTGTCGGTGGAGGTTTCATGGTACATGGTCATGGGCTCCTGACATGGTACTCGGAAACAACTGTGTCATCAAATGCAGACCACCCTCTGTTCGTGTGGCAGTTGTTGTCAGTACTGAAATCTGAGCGTCGATCTTTTGTTCTTAATAGCAGAAATACGGATGAACATTTCGGCGGAAACAATTTACTCCAAAATACAGATTTGAGCCTAAATAACACAAACAGCAAGTGGTTGTCCTGTGGTGCTATAGAGTACTAAGTGATGACGTCATAAAATAAAGTTTCTGAAATTATGGGATTTGTCAGGATATTCTGAAAGAACAATGTCCAAGAGGCCTTGCCAAAAATGAGCATTTCGGGGCAAATTGTCTCTGAGATCGTAACGCAGTTATGCTTAGAAAATTCCATACAAACCCTTCTAAATTTTTCTGGGTCGACCCAAAAAAAAATAGAAGGGTTTGTATGGAGTTTTCTGAGTATAACCGGCTAACATCTCATAGACAATTTGCCCCGAAATGTTCATTTTTGGCAAGTAGGCCTCTTGGACATTGTTCTTTCAGAATAACCTGACAAATCCCATAATTTCAGAAACTTTATTTTTATGACGTCCTTTCACTTTAGTACTCTATTGTTCATTGTCTTGAGTCTATTGTATCTCGTGGTATTACTTCACATGGTGATCGTCGTCTGTCTGTCCAGTTTAAAATTTAATGATACAAACAACTGGATACTTTATTTCCGGTGAACTATAAATTCTTTAGCGCCACATTTTCTTGGAAATTTGCCACCTGCCCGAATGTTACTTAGAACATTCCTGAAATTGTTGAGATTCTTTTTCCCTAAGCTCTGGGAACGAGAATGTTCTTTTTCATGAACTTTGCATGTGATTACGGGCTTTGTGGTCAGCGGAGTCTTCAAGCACAACAGCTGGCTTACAATGGCGGCGAACATGGTGGTTTCATTTTTCTTTTGAATCGAATTTCTAGAAAAATGTAAGCTTTTGTGAGTCTACTTTGTTGTGGAGACGACGAATGTTGCACGTTCTGATAGTTCTGATAGAAGCACGCCCACCCGTAGGGCGTCAAACGAACGCGACAATGGATTACGGGATATGTCTTTGTTCTGTTCCGCGTTTCCTGTTTAAATTTTCGGATGACGAATGACAAATTTTTTATTCATATTGTTACAGTTTGTTGTCATCCGCTTTCTGTATTTACAGAGTGCTGTGTCATTTGAAACCGAAAAAGGGTGAAGAATCCCATTACTATTTTAAACAAGTGAAAGCGATAATCTGAAAAATTTTATTGGATAATCGCGTCATGGACGACTCTACAAGTAGCTCCTGGGTCCATCGATTTTGCACTGAACTCGGAAATGACTTCTTCTGCGAAGTTGACAAGGACTTCATCAAAGACTTCTCGAACCTCGTAGGACTTGAAGAACAGGTCTGTCCCTTTGAACAGGCCCTCGATATAATTCTGGATAAACCTCTAAGAAGTGAAACAATCTCAAAAGGCATTGCCAATGGATCGATTAAAATGCCTACATGTACAATAAAAGAAAAATCGTTGAATAAAATTGCAGAGAAGCTGTACAGTCTTATACATGCAAGGTTCATCTTGAGCGATCGAGGTTGCAATAAGATGCTTTACAAGTACCTGCAAGGTGATTTTGGTCACTGTCCACGAGTTCTTTGTAGTAACTCAAATGTTCTGCCAGTTGGCATGTCTGATAAACCTGGGGAAGAAACAGTGAAAGTCTATTGTCCACGATGCAGTGAGGTGTATTCTCCACGGCTTCTTAAACACAGCTATGTGGATGGAGCAGGCTTTGGCAGGAGTTTTCCTCACATGTTTTTCATGGTGTTTCCTGAATACAGACCTTTAAAAAGCACTGAAAAGTACACGCCACGATTACATGGATTCAAAATCCATCCCTCGGCATATACATCGCCATTTCAAGTAAAAAGGAGTAAAGTGGCTCAATACCCAGTTAGATTTAATGGGGGTACCCCATACAGGAAAGTAAATGAAAGTTTATTATAGTATAAAAATATTGTAGTCGCGAGGAGTCATATGTCAGCTTTCTAGTTCGACACTTAACACGGGTTGTTACACAAGTCATGTCCAAATGTGTTTTTCACAACTGTGGTTTTCATAGTGAAGCTAGAACAACTGATGGAACTCATATGATCGTAACCTTAGAAAACAGCCCACATTTTGCAACGCCACCTGAGGTTTCCCCACAAAATGACATCTGAGGAATGAGTGCAGAAAATTCCACTTTGAAGATGTGTCACTACCCAGGTTTGGTTAGTGAAGCCAGTGGTGACATCGTGAAATATTAGCCGTTTTCGTTGACAAATGTGATTATGAGTTTCACCAAATATGAAGGTCACAGCTTTAATTAACATATTTGGACATTAGTGTGTCAAGATCCAGCAGCTTAGATTCGAACAGATTGTTTCCAGCACAGCTAATGATAATCAGTTTTGAGGCTTAATAACTTCTAACACTAGTCTTGCTCTCCATTAAAGCTAAGGAAAATTATGTAAACATGGGGAAAATCACTTCCCCCAAAGAGATGTCTGTTATATAGCTTCTGCAGTATAAGTGATGTGGTTGAGTATCTGAACTTCCTTGCAATTCAATTATTAAGAACAGTGGCAGGAAGAAAAACAAAAGAAAACTATTTTATCTTAAATTATTAGTTTTATTTATAAATTACAACTAATTTTAAAAAGTTTAAGTTATTTTTAAAACTTATTTTGGAATAATCATTTGGGTACCCTTTGAAAATGTATAGACATTAGAAAAAATTACGGCTGCTGACAACTCGCCCATTTATTGTTGTGTATGCATGGGTTTTGTCAAACAATTCATGAGCAAATTCTTTTATAATGGTGCATATTTTTTGGCCAGTGAATGACTAAGTCTGGTAAACAGTATGTTTCTTATGAAGTGAAACAAATACATTGTTGCAGATTAGGCTTTCAACTGTTCAAAAGTAACACAGCTAAAATAAAAAAAATATGTGGTATGGGACATTAACCAAAAAGGGGGGTTTATATTTGAGATAGAAAACAATAGGAATCAACCCCGACTTCTTTTGTTAAGCCAGAAAAAAAGAAGAGCTGTATGCCTCTTGCATGCATGGTAATGAATGGTGACTTAGAAACTGTTTTAAAACCATGGCTGAATTCTACTGTCATGTCCTTTACTGACTGACAATTTGGAATTTCCTTTGAGTTATATTTTCTATTTGTAGTTTCTTCTTGGTGGTAGTGCTATTAATAATTTTCATCCATGAGGTTTGTAATGATTTTGATAATATTTTTGCAGCTGGATAAATTATGGATAAAACCTTTGTGTGATACTGGATTTGTGTTAAGGTGAACATCCTTATTTGGAAAAGGATGTAAAATAAAATGGAAACTCCATGTCTCTGCTTTAGTGCTCACGGCCATAGCTAGGTTTTTTGTAATGGGGGGCGGAGGGGCCATTGTCGTGAGTGCCAAAGGCACGAGCGTTGTAGGGGGGTTTGGGGGTATTCTCCCCCCCAAAAAAATATTTTCAAATTTGGAGGCTCTGAAATGCTATTTTCAGCACTTGTTATGAGCTATGCCTCCGAAAAATCGACCTCGAATATGCAAATGGCAAACAATAATTTGTAAGTCACTATAATCAGAATAACTGAGTCTAAAGAAAACAAATCCATCCAAAGACTTGATGTGTCTGGCTCAACAGGTCCAGGGGGGAGAGCTGACCCCTTGCCCTCCCCCCCCAGCACTAGCTACGGCTCTGGTGCTGTTGCAACTTTGATGGGCCATTTTGCCTCACATCTATTCTATGCGGTCTGCCCTTTTTCTCTTTGAAGGCCAAAAACATCAGATTGAGTGAGATGGTTTTTGCCAAAAAGTGCTAATGTTGGGTATAAAATTTCAGGGGTCAGGCTACAATGAATTGCAGCATTTTTCAGAAATTCTACTTGTATGAATTAGTCAAATTATCTATCAAATCTTAGCCTGAGAAAACAGTTGACATTTCGCTACGCCACCACTGGTTTCCCTGTGAAATGACGACTCTGAGAAATGAGTGCAAAAATTCCATACTGATGACATGTCACTTCTCAGACTTGGGTAGTGCTTCTGATTGTTCATGCCCTCAGTGAAATTTTCTTTAACCAATTAAAAGAACTACCCAGATCTGGGAAGTGACACATTGTCTGTACAGAATTTCTGCACTCATTTCCCAGGGCAACCAGGGGTTAATAAACCTTTTAGAAGTGTAATTTACAAGTGCAGCTATTGGTTTCGGACGCTAAAACAATAGCTCCACTTGTAAATTACAGTTGTAAAAGTTTTAGTAAATTGACCCCCGTGTTGGCATCGCGAAATGATG